GGACAGTGTTTTTATGTTCTTTGATGAGAGAAAAGGGAAAAAATTCATAGAGTAGTACCACAGTTAACTCCACAAATGTTTGTTGGATAGATGGATAAATAATAGAATGGAATTGAGGAGAAAGCAAAGTAAGAAAATGAGAAGATGAGCCGGCTCTTCCCTTGGAGCTGACTCAGGCTGCATTCCTGGTTCCCCAAATTCAAAAGCTACAAGAACCTAGAAATGGCGACATGGGAAAAATACCAGGATCTCCCTTTCTCATTGATTCTCTAGAAAACCCAGCAGACATGCCAGTGAAGTCTTTGGAATGTCTGATATGTCATAGCCAGGAGTTAGGAAATACTGACCTCAAGTTTTTCTCCTTGTTGGGTAGAAACTTTTCATTTCTGATTAGGGTAACGAACTGAATTGAAAAGCTTCCACCATAATGTGAATTTCAGGTATGTTAGCTCTAGTTCTAATCCTTTCTGTAATGTTGCCTAGTATTTAATTTCTTTGTCTGCCTATCACAACGGTGCTTGCAACAAGGGTTCTGTTAGTTCAGCTGTCACAACAAATTTGTGCATGGATCAACTTACAACAGAATCAGGAGAGATAATGAGCACCAAAGGATTAGGCCCAGAGCAGTGTATGATTTGATAAAATGTAGGGTTCAGAAAACAGACACATCTTTAAACAACTCTGGATGTGGAAACAATGCATCTGTCCACAATGTTTATTACATAATAATACAGATTAGGCACAGAACGTCTCCTTTTGTGGACAAAAGAGCTCACTGCTTTTTAAGTTAGAGTGCTAGACAAAGTGATGTAGTACCTTCTTCTACCTCAAGCAGGTATGTTAGGGATTCACAAAACCATGGAGACAGAGTGTGTGGAGACCTGTGGGTAAGAGGTAATGCATAGAGACCATGTTGGGCTTACTGAGGGGAATAGCGGTCATTTGAATTTCCCTGAAGACGGTAAACTCTAGGAGAGCAGGAACCAGATCTTCCTTTTTAACTGCTGTAGCCCCTGTGCTTAGCCCAGAGTTGGCATATCGTAGGCACTTGATGAATATTCGATGAATAAAATGAAATCAAAGTCAACAATGAAACCTATTTATTTATATAAAAAAGTTATCAGTGGCCTCCATTAACGCCACTCAAGTCTGGTCAAATTGTGGCTGACATTGTGAGTACTAATCTATTTTCCATCAACAGTCATGTTTTAGAATTTATGATGGTAACAACAGGATTTTATAAGTCAACATTGACAGCTTTGTAGTGTTTAGGTGACGCTTTATCCAAGCCCTTTAACATCGCAGTTCATTCTTTCTGTTGCTAAGTGAGCTATAATTTATTGACAGAGCCACCACCAGCCACAAAGGACCTTTGTGAAATTAGAAAAAGAAGCCCTCCCCACCTGTGGCACTTGCAGCCCTGCAGGCGCCCGCAGGCTGGAGGTCAGTGGCCTCTTCAGTAGGACATCCCTGTGCGGAGAGAAACCTGCCTGGCCATGCTCTGTGCCTCTGTTTGCTGAGCACCTGAGGTCAAACAAATCTAAAAATTGTACTTCCATAGTTGGGGATAAGAACGTTCTTAAGGATATGCGATCTGGTGCCAGAAAGGAGACGTTAGTGGTAACTGTAGACTTTTTTGCTGTGTTCTTTGAGAGCTGGTTTGAAACTACCATTTCTTTTCCAACCTTTTTATTTATTTACTCTGATCTTTCTTCTTTTCCAAATAGTCTCAGAGAAAGGTACCAGTATTAGAATGAATAGAATTACCGTACTTTTTTGTCTGTCCACCACAATTTCTTCCTTGCTAGCCCATCAGATGATGGGCTAAGTGATGGTTAAGACTGATTTTCACTCAGTGGGTGCCACTCACTGTACTAGTGCTTTCCAGGTATTAACTTGTGTAATCCTCAGAACAACTCTACTAATACTCCTCCTTCTCTACAGGTAATGAAACCGAGGCACAAAGAAGGTTAGTAAGGGTAGTAAGTGGCAGAACCAGAATTCAAACCAGCTACATTAGAGGTGTCACTTTCAAGGTCAAAAGATTTCTGTCCTCCCTTTTTGATGGCTCTCATCTATCACATAGGGAAAAGAACTTTTAGGCGATTACTTAGGAGCTATTACCTCTAAAACACACTTATTTAAAATTCAGTCAGAGTGCAAATAATCACTATAAATTACAAAATAAATGTGTCACTACACTTTTAGCATTTTCTCTATTTTTTGTGGTGATCATTTTAAAGATGTTTTAGCTCCTTCGGACTCCCCCAGGAAAAATATTAGGAACAGTGACATTCTTTTGTAATATTTCTCAGCTTGGTTGACTATTTTTAGGTTATTATAAAAATATTAAATGTTGAGGACATTTACCTATGTTGAGTATATCATTAAAATTTGGAAAAGTACATAAGTATGAAAATTGATACTGCGATCATGGGTATAAATAATGTAGTTATGGTACAAGTTGATAGATCCCTTAGACACTTAAGATACCATTTGTGGATAATAAATTTTCACAAGGATTTTGATTTTGAGGGAAAAAACTTGTTTTAGACTGATAGCATAATATATTTTTCGAAATGTAAAATCGAGTGGCCATGATTCGGGTGTGTCAACACAGTTTTTCCCCACTGCTTCCTGCTCTAGAAGGGTGATGACTTCAGGATGCACCCACAGCTGGCACAGATGGATGAAAGGAGTTTGTCTCATTTAACTGACAGTACTAATCACTGTAATAACTATTTTACCAGAAAATATAATTTGGCAGATGTCTGTGATTAGTGTATTAACACATTTCCTTATTAATTCCCTAGGGCAGTCATCACTAGAACATCCTTGTGTGACATCTAAATGAATCGTCTTGTCCTAATGAATTTCTTTATAGACCTGAGAAATCATTTTTGTTAAGTTGCCTTACAGGCTATTAATTCGAAGGCTTCATTCATGACGAGGCCGGAAGGGAGGTCAAGGACAGCCTTCCTCCTACTTCCATCATGTGGACCTTTGGGGCCCACAACCTACTGCCCTGCATCTCACAAAATCCTTCCTGAACTCTGCTTCTCCAGCCTCAGGCACTAATTTCTCTCCAGTTCTGGAGGCCAGATGGGAAATAATTTGCTATGAATAAATGTATTAAGAAGAAAAATAATTAGCAGCAAGTTGAATTAATGATAACACCTAAATTAAGGAAGTGAAGAACCGTGGCAAATATTAACTTGGGGAAAAATGAAAAATTTTTTACACAAATTAATAGCTTGCTATGTAGCTTAGTTCTTCCAAGCAGACATACTGGTCATATGTACATATGACAATATAGATATAACCCAATTACAACATAATTGCTATATAAAATAATTACTAATATACAATCACTGAATTGAAAGGAAATATGAATGTGTATGGGAGAAGGTGGGTTATGGGACAAGTGGGCATAAAAAGAGCTAAGTCTTTATTTTCCATAGTGGGAGTTAATTGCAATGCCCAAACTAAAAAAATCACGAAAAAGCAATTCACTTGGAGATGTAGAAAAACTATCCCTCCCAAACAGCTAAAAGAATGAAAATATTTGCCCCTAGAGAACTGAAAATGGGAAAGAAGTCCTGAGTATTAGCTGTATAACTTAACTTAGACAGTTCTTTAAAATATATACATATATATCCAGGGTAGGGGGGTAACTTAGGGAAAAATAAGAAAAAAAGAAAAACTGTCTTTAGCAAAAAATTATAGAGGAAGAAATATATCACTAAGAGGCCCATTTTTATGTGTAGGGTTATTTTCCTTCAGTATTTCCCCCTTTATTTGTGACTGATTTTCTTCTCTTCCTTTCATCCTCTCTCCCTTTCTTTCAACATTGATACATATTGCTATGTATAAAATTGATAGTTGACTTATTGAGCACTTAATTATATAGCAGAAATTATGCTAATAAACACTTTATATGCATTATTTAAATTGATTAACCCAACTGTGAGTGCTGATTTTTTAACTTATAATTATTTTCTTATTTTAGCATATGGTCGTCATAATCATTTTTTCATGGTACAATAATATTTCATCTAGAGGAATATTTATTTTTTCCCCCCAGTTTTTAGACTTTTAAGTTATTTTCCAGCTTTTGCTATTGTAAAGAATACTGGGATGATATACTTTTCCCCAAAGCATTTTCCTGACATATATGCTTTTAGAATGAATTTCTAGAAGTAGGATCACTGGGTCAAAGAGTATAAACATGTTGCCACATTGACTTTTACATTCATGCAAAAATATGAATGCAAACATATGAAAAAATGTGAAGCAATGTGTTATGCAACTCTGAGACAGGTGGGAGAGAGAGATTCACTGTCATTTTATGGATGCGATCACTGGGGACTAAGTTCCCAAGGTCACGTGGCCAGAGGAAGAGCCAGAAGTAAGATTCACGTTTTCCAACTCTCTCTTGATTTCTCTTTCCCCTGTGACTCCCAAATGAAGTGAAGCTCAGGCTGACCGGTCTCTGCCACCTTCCTTCCCAGACATCTTAGTTTTACCTAGCGACACTTTTCTTCCTTTCACTGAGGGCCATTCTACTTTAGGAGGCAGGTAAGACCTTTCAAGCAGCTCAAGGCACACACATGGTGAAATCATCTCTAAGTCTAAAGCAGAGAAAAGGTGGGACAGGGAAAAGAACACGAGAAAACAAAATGAATGTACTGAATTAGAATATGGGACAGGAGCCATGGGAAGGTACAGAAGGAGCAAACAGGAAAAAAAAACCCTGTGAATTTGGAGGACCTTAATGTTTAAGATGAGGTGTGTGAGTTGAAGACAGTAAGATTTGAATTAGGGAGCATTAGGTTGCGGTGTGGCCCTTCTGCATTCAGTTGTACTGTCTTGAACTGTTAAATCTACTTCTTGATAGCAACATATTTTCTCAAGATAGAAACTATACATTAATGCGTATTCTCTTCTATTTATTTTTCAAGTGAATCATCAAAAAGTAACTTCAAATATGTATTTTTCAGCCGCAGAAGAAAGTGAGTCCTGCCTTGCCCAACCCAAACCATGTACACTGGGAAGAGAATCTACTATTTATGGCAAGGGACAAAAGGAAAGCCTTCCTCCATTGGAGAAGCTCAAGATTTCAGCGGTGTCTACAGCTAATGGCGTTAAATCTCTCCATGAACAGCCCCTGGCAAATGATGCAGCAGGCCCTCCAGGATCCATGGAGGAGACTCAGCCTCTAGAGGGACCCAAGGAGTCTGGGCCGCCTCTGCCAGGTGGCCAAGATGATACTCCAGGAGCAGAAGAAAAGAAGGAAGACATGGAAGCAGCGACAGAGGCTCAGCCTTCAGAAGGAACTGCTGAGACCAAACCTTTAGAAACAGAAGGCAAGCATCAGCCTTCAAGGACAGCAGGAGAGAGGGACTGTCCTGGAGTAGTGGGAGGTACTGAGAATCCACAAACGGCCAGAGAGATGAAACCTCAAGGAATAGCTGAAACCACCCCCTCTCTGGAAGCAGGTGGAGAACCACAACCTCAAGAAGCAATGGGAAAGGATAAACAGCCCCACCTCCTAGAAACAGTTCCCAAGGAGCCTGAATCTCTAGAAATATTGGAAGGAAGTCAGCTTGTGGAAACAGCAGAAGAGCAGCAACTTCAAGAAACACTGGGAAGAGACAAGCAGTCCCAGCTTCTAGAAGCAATTCCCCAAGAGAATGGATCTCCAGAAATATCGGAAAGAAGTCAGTTTGTGGAGACAGTGGAAGAGCAGCATCTTCGAGAAACAATTCCCAAAGAGAACAGATCTCCAGAAACATCAGAAGGAAGTCAGCTTGTGGAAACAGCTGAAAAGAATGATTTGACTCATAAAATTTCTGAAGGTCTAGGAAACATGGAACAAATCCAACCTGAAGGTATAGTCGGAATCATGAAGCATCCAACAGGAACTCTAAAAACAGGGACGAATGTGGAAATGGTTAGGAAGATTCACACCAACAAAGAGGACCAAAACATCGAAGGTAAATCTATGTCATTAAAGATTCAGGGTGCTCAGATGTGCTCCATAGATAACCTCCGGGGATAGGGGGCAGCTGACGTATAGCCAGTGAAGTCTTCATTTCAAGTGGTTGAAGTTCATTTGACCCAAACCAAAAAGGTTTCCATACCTGGAAAATGGGCATTTGGCTTTCAACAGAAAATGTCTAAAGCATAGTCTGTGTCCAAATTCTTAACCTAGAGTTTTATTGTTGAATAGAATCAAATATTGAAGGCAACATGTTAAAATTGCTGAATTTTTCCAAGTCTGCTCTTCATCAGGCCCCATGTATGGTATAAAGATCAAAAGTAAAGATGAATAGATGGTTAGTGGAGGAATTGACCTTCTAATGAAAGAATACACAAATCATGGATCTTAGTGTGTAATTTTCATCTTTGCCAGTCTTATCCTTAGAAAATTACTGTCAGTCTGCCCCTGTCCTTTTATAGTCTTTTTACCTTTATGAGAAGACTAGAAAAAAATGCTTTATGTCTTCTTGGCATATGGTGTTTTTCAAATGTGCTTTACCAGTGTAAAACAAATGGTATCTATACTGTTCTTTATTGGAGATATAATTAAAAAATAACTTTTCTTCTAGGGCATGATTTATATTTTGGTAAATTTTAGTGTCACACTACAGTATAATTAAATGAAACTTTTATCTATCTGTTTCTTAATTCTTGCATTTATTAATGCAGCAGTGTTTGAGTACCTAATCATACACTAGGTGCCGGGGTACAGAAGAAGTAAGAGAGAGTCCTCGAGGGAGTCATAGTTTAGTAGGAAGAAGGCACAATTTAAACAAATTCTCACACTCTACTGGGGGGAAGTGCTTTGAAGAAGGTGTGTAAAATGCCTCCAAAAATGACAAATGAAAGGCAAGTAGTAGCATATATTAGACCGGAGCTGGCAAACCCAAGTCTTCTGGGCCTAAGGTAATGACAGACAGGGAATGAAGTGAGGGACACGTAGAATGTTGTGGGGAGCCGTAGGGGACCTTGGTGAATGAGAACCTGGTCCTGCCAAGAGAGGCAGCTGCTTTGCGGCTCCACCTGCAAGCCCAGGGCCACTGCTGGCCCAGCCGACTCATCTGGGAAACAGAGAAGGTGCAACATCCAGACTCTTAAATGTTCCCCATCTTTAAGTGTTCAACGATTGTTTTCTTTAAACACTAAATGGCCAGATGAGGCAGGTTTCTGGGCACCCTTAGGTTACCTTTTGATTTAGATATATATGGAACTTCCTATTTATAATATGTGCTACTGTTATTTCTTGGGTTATTCTGCATCCTGATTTTACCTAAGAGAATGCAAGATTCGGAGATGTTAGCGCCATTGGCATTCAGAGGATCTGAGAGAACCAGAGCGATCACCTTTCTTGATACCACCAGAGAAACTTATTGTTTAGACCTAAAGATTAAGAGCTGTCCCCATGAGAAACCAGCTGTGGGGTACTTTATTGTTGATGCTAAATGGTCACTTTGGTCACTTTTCCAGGTGAGACAGGAGAAAAGGTTGAAACAAAGATGGAGGATGAGAAAATAAATGAAGAGGCTGAAACAAAAGAAGAAGAAACAGGAGAAGCTGTGGATCTTTCGGCAACCACATAGATAGCTATGGTGATGGAACAGTGAATCTTCTCTAACACGGCGCGTTACAACAGAGAAGACAGGAAAATGTAGTGAAGCTTGTGGTTAGAGATCTTATCTTTCAGCATCTACATGTTTTATACAAGGAGCGTCGTTATCATGTTCTTGATTACATTGTTCCATAAAACTGCTAAGCTGTAAATAGTTTTCTTAGCTACGTAGAATAGTTATACATTTAAAACTACAATAGCCAGAGCCAATAATAACTAAAGTATATGATCTTTTAAGAGTGTAAGGGTGTTTTCTTCATTGTGGCAATGGGTCCATTCAGTATAGAAAATGAGACCCTAAAATTAAAATATAAACCTTTAGGGATAGTGATTGGAGGTAGGAGTTAGCAAATCTTTGAAAGTTCAGGATAATAAAGTGACACAGTTATAGTTACAGTGGAATAAGAATAAGAATGAACAACAAAACAGGGCAATCTCTATTTAGTATGTCTTTCCTAGCACAGAATTTAAAGGTAGTAGAAACCTTAGAAAGTATGTCATCTAATTACTTTCTCATCTTAAGTCTATCTACTACCATAGAGCCTTGCTTATCATGGGATGTTAAATGTTAACATTTAATGTTAACAAAATCCTTGTCAAAGGAATGCAGACTCTGGTGCTGTTGCAAGATTAGGCATTTTCACAATGAAAAGCTTCATGTTTTCCATGTGCCATTTTGAATCAGCTATTGATTTTACACTTATGTGAAGTGTTTCAATCGGTATTATCGTTTTGATTGACATTTAAGGTTTTTTAAATTAATTGGATTTTAAATATATTTTTAGAGGCAACAAACAGCAAGAATTAAAACCCAGGTTTGTTGCCTCTCGGGCGTTATTCTTTGGGCCCAAATCTTTTTTAGATTATTGTGATTTAATAGGCTTTAGGGTTCGAAAGGAGCTAAGAAATCAAGATTTAAAAACCATCTAGTTCATTAATGTAAATGATGCACCATAATAGAAAGTCATTTTTCAAGCATTCTTCCAAAGTTGCCAAGGGATTTTAGTAAATAATTATCTGTAAATAATAATGATAGCAACCTCACCCACCATTGAGTGCCTTGTGTTTATGAATATTAGGATAGAATTATATTCTGGAAATATTTGGTTTATTTATCTTATTTGTAAATACATATTTTTAAGATTATCGCTCAGATGAATTAATTGGACTCTTTTGCTTTAGCTTCTATGTTAAAATGACTAATAAGATGATCTGCAATTAATTTTAATATAGGATACAGGGAAGAATCATCATTTTTATTCTAATTTTAATATTAGTTTATGCTTCTGACTTTAAAGAATTGAGGTAGACAACAAGAGGAGTTACTTGAGTAAATGACATCATTCTTTCTGCTACGTAAAGATGTCAGATGGTGATTTTGAGAGCAAGGACTATTTCATGTATCTTTGAATTCAGGCATTTAGCTCCTTTAATAGACCATAAGAGGTGCTTGATAAATATTTGTTGAATCAATAAATCAATAATAAATACCAAGGGTTCCTATTTACATTTAATTAATTAATACAGAATATATTTAAAATATGAATTTGTGTAATACTAACATTTTCCTGCCAAGGCTGCTCAAGCTCAGTAACAAGCTACACATATTTGGTATAGTTCCAAAAGCAGCAATATTTTTGGGTCAGAAAGTTATATAAATCCAGCCACATTTTATAATCCATAGGTGTTTTTCTTGACAAAAATATATTTTTATACAGATATCTAGTAAGTAGGAAATGTCAGAGCTGAGTGTAAAATATGAATGATCACCTTAAAAAGTGGAATTATACTCTTATCAAGTACCAAAATAGTAAGACTCATTTATGTAATAGGCATAAAAGTACATTCTCTGTTGTGGGGATTTCTTTTTCAATATCTAGCATATGTTAAAGAGATCTATTCAGAACTCATTCTTGAAAGACCTCTTTCTCAAAAATATTGTTATATAGCTGTAAAAGTTTTCAAATTTTTTATTAATCCCATTTTTATTTTCCATTAATGACTAAACTCGTTCTCAGAAGATTTTGGAAATTTATAAATTTCTAGCACTTTTATACTTTTGGCCTTTAATATGGTTACTAAGACCTTTTAAGAAACTTTTCTCTTTCTTATAGATAATACTGTTTTTTATTCAACACCTATAAAGTTAAAATGTTGTGTCATATCTGAATATTACAAAATTGAAATATTCCATCTAAATAATGTTAATTTTTAAAAACAAAATTAAAGTAATATGTCTGTAGTAAAACTCAAATAATACAGGAAGGTGTAAAATAGGCAGTGAAATTCTGCTTCCCATATCCTTTAGTCCTTCTATAAAAAGATAATAAAGTTTCTTGTGGATATTTCCACAAGAAGGTAATGTATATGCCAGGCTATATATATATGCTAAAACATAAGTGTATATTTACAGGTCCACATTTTAAACCACAAATAATAGTTTATATAGTCCTTGCATTGTGAAAAGTGCATGTAAAACTCATATATCTTAATCTATGTTAGATTAAGACTGATGGTATAGCAAAGTGCATTTTGTCACTAAGTCCCTGACTCTGAGAAGAGGTCATCAGTTTTGCCCCAGAATGAAAATGCACAAGTGGGAGATAAGGCTTGAGCTGTTTATAATGAATTAATAGAAAAACTACTATCAGAACTGGATTTTTTAATCCTGGGGTGCCATATAGCCACTTATGTCTAACTGTGGGGAAATGGTGAACAAATGATTCGCCAAGCGAGCATCCCCAGTAGGGAGAGAGCATTTGCATTTACCAGTAGAGAGTGCCAGTTGCAAATCTAGGAAATTCTCAGTCCAGACTCCAAAACTCTTGGCCAGAATTGCACTGTATCTACCCACGGGATAGGAATGTGTGGTCAACCTGTGACCTTCTTGCTTTTTCCATTTAGACTTTGGAGTAAGAACACCTAGCATAGCTATTAGCCTTTAAGTAGTCAAAACACCCACATCACCCTTCCGCCTATAGCACCTGATCTTCCTAGGTGGTCTGCCATCCAAGTACTAACTAGGCCCAAGCCTGCTTAGCTTCCGAGATCAGATGGGATCAGGCATGTTCAGGGTCCACATCACTCTTAACAAACGCTTTATTCCACACTCGACCTTGAATTAAGACTGGCTTTTAAAGAAAAATGTTTTTTTCCACATTTAACTAATCAAAGAGTGTTGGATGGTCATGGTGAAATAATCTTAGTAGGGTTTACATCTGTGCTCTTTTGGAAAATGCAATAGCCTGCTAGAGCATCTAACATTACAAGCATTTCATTTTTATAAAGATAACTTGATGAATCCATTCTGAATTGCTTCACAAATGCCAGTAATGTGAACATCATAAAGCCATTCATGTCTCCTGTACACATTTGTAAGGTAAAAGGAGAATGGTCC